CAGCTCGTTAGCGTGGTGCGCTTTTGAACTGAATCTTTGTGGGGGTGCGCCGCGCGGGAAAGCGCCCTGGACGAGCCGCAGAACACTCCCGAATACGCCTATGGGTCGAGACCCATATACTAATCATTGCTTAATATAACTTAACCATATTGTGATGTATTCACTCTCCTGACTTCGCAGAGCACTTATAATAAGTAATGATAAGTATACCTCAAATAATATTCTAATCATTACTTATTGTCACTGTCATAGACGTGCGCAGGGTTCCTCTTCGGGGGGGGGGGCGAAGCCAATAGAAGGGGCTGATTTTGCGCCCCCCCCCCCACGAGTTGCAGTGCCCCTTCCCTATTTCTCAATGTATAGGGCTGAATTGGCGTCCCTCCCTTCTTATGTGACCAGGGGGAGGGTGGCCTCCACCTCTTGCGCACGCCTATAATAACTGCACTGTGATTTATCCACTGTCCTGGCTCTCATTTCGCCAAGCTATATCCTCCGGCTACCCACAACATCCTTATTCTGACTTTCTCTTATCCCTCTCGTCTCTTTCTTTCTGTCTTCCTATACTGCCAAGTTGGTTTCTAGCAGCAAAAGAACATACCAAAAACGAACGCTCTTGTTTAGTGCCGGAGTGTTTAGCGGTCGTTTAGTGATTTCCCGTGCTTTTCCGCATTCAGCCGACGCTGTTTCTTGAGTGGCGTTTTTAAAAGGTGCCACCTATCGTTAGTTTCTAGCGAAAAACAAAATACCAAGAAAAACTGCTGGGCTTCCGTGTGGGTCCCCAGAGGCGCTCTTCGAGGACGTCTCTAATTCCTAAACATACACCCCGTGTAAATTCCAGTACCCCGGTCGTCGGTTCAGCTGTATTGATGATCTTTATGTCTAACTGTACACACGTATACGTTGATCCACATACGTGTCAATACTCTCTACCAGACGCAAAGCCAATTCTTGAAGTATTTGACTACGTCCGCGGACACAACATGTACAAAATGCGGCCCTCAACTAGATATCTGGCATTCCGCATCTCAGTTCATACTTTGGTGGCGTGCTGTTGGTGAAATCAATGTGCGGCCTCGTATGATGAAATAAGTTAGAAATATAATGAAGAAAACGCACGAAATAATATGTTGAATACAAGCAAAGAAAACGTGTGACTGCGTGCGACGTACGCGTCCGTCGCGGTGTGGCGATTAAATTTACGACGCTCGGCTGCTGATCTGAAGGTCGCAGGTTCGATCCCTTCAACGGCGGTCGCATATTTATGGGGGTGAAATCCTAGAGGCCCGTCTACTGTGCAATGTTAGTTCACGCTAATGAACACCAGATGGTCGAAATTTCCGGAGTTTTCCACTGCGACGTGCCTCGTAATCGTACCAAGGCTTTGAGACGTAAAAGTCCAGTATAGCGTTACCATCATCGCCATCCACCATTATCATCATTTTCCAACGACCACACCGCATCTTTCCGCACAGCTCATGCCTACAGCTTAAGGTGCGAGAAGAACAGAACGCGCTCATGTCCTATAGGCGGTTCGGACGCTGGCAGCCGCCGCCGGTATGCTTCTACAGTTCCTAATAGAGTGACGAGATCGGCATGGCCACGTCGAGCCACCTTCACGTCGTCTCTCACGTCTCGTCTCCCGCTACACCGGATATTATATTTGTACGAAGTAAGTGGTGGCTACTCAATTTATAGATACGGGTACTTCACTGTTTTGGTAAAGGATTGCGTATAGTGGCGCAATGGGCACTTTCCTATACGTCTCGAAATGATAATTCATATACCGTGCAGCGGGTATCGAGCATCTGTACTACAGCCATAAGAAAGTTTACAACGGATTCTACCAAGGCCGCTCCTCCAACTCCAGCTGTGACTGTGCTGCGTGTTTCGCGCAAGCCTGGCGTATTCTTTCTCTCCTTCTTTTGATTATCTTTGTTCGACAAACATATTGGACGAGCTATCTAACTCCACACTCACTGTTGCGGAGACCGTATGCAACTGAAATGTACCATGTTTATCCGATCAAAAATTATCTTCATTTTTCAGTCATGAACGTAGATAGCAAGAAGCACTGAAAGCAGCAACGATCACGATGATACCGAACTATACTTCAAAGTAAAATTTGTAGCGACTGTCACAAAAATGAGGCTGTTGTGCCCTTCGTTGATGTAGTGGTTCCATGGCTGTCGAAGATGTCGGGTTGTGCAGCCCTGATGCATACTCGTGTCTTCACTCTCTGTCTCTAGATGTTTTGTTGATTAGTTCTTCCTTGAAAGTGATGTCCCTGCTGACGATCAACGCACTTTATTAGGAAGTATATAACAGCTTGCGTATAAAGCGGTATGTAAAAGGTGGTGAGAGTGAACTCGCTATATGCGTGATGACAAAAAAAAAATGGTTCCGTTACTTTTTCGTCGCTGGATGGTAAAGTGGTGCACAGGCTTTTTGTGAAGCAGATATTTGGGCCCCGACCGGTGCGAGACCATTTAGAGCAGCCGGGCACTTAGCCGCATTCCATGAGCCAAGACGAAGCCGGCTACACGGCGAGAAGCTCGAGCTCGCATCCGTCTTTGTCGGAAGGGGAGAAAGTGGGGTGAATGGAGAGGGCAACCGGCGGTTTGGTTCCGTGCTTGGCTGTTTCCGCCTTGTAGGGTAAGGGGGGGACCCTCCTTTTGCCCGAGACGTCTGCCAGCGCCGAGGTCGTCGCTTCACTTCGCACTCAGGCGCGACTAGCGTCGCCCTCGGTGTTCTCGCCTTCTAGTTTTTTTCTGTGAGCGCCAACAAATTAGAGTACTGTTATCGTTAGATAAGTACGGGCCGATGATTTTCGTTGTTCGCTCGAACTGTTCATAGTGTCCCCGTTTACGCTGGTCGAGGTGTTGTTCGTTTTATTAAGGCGAAAGCATGCCTCATCAAACATTAAAGTTGACCGCCGCCGCCGATGAGTCCCGCATAGGCCTCGCATGTCAACGGTAAGCTAGGTGGGCAGATGAGATTAAGAAGTTTGCGGGCACAAAGCACCAAGCACAGGACCGGGTTCATTGGCGGAACATGGGGGAGAGGCCTTTGCCATGCAAGAGGCGTAGTTATGCTGATCATGATAATGAATTCAAAAACAGAAGGACAGATGAGTAGTTATGAACAACTCCTCTTTAGCCCCTACCTGCACCACTACTTTGCCCACACTATAGCCCACTTGCACCACTACTTGCACCACTACTTGCACCACTACTTTACCCACCACTATAGCCCCTACTTTGCACCACATAAAAATTGGGAGACCATTAAGCTTTGCCTTTAATAGTTACGCACGCGCGCTCACACGCACACATACGCAGACTTCCCAATCGCTACCCTCCTTTCGATTCTCACCTGGCGGTGGAAAAAGTGTTCCACAAGAGGAAGCCATAGTGCAAATATCCACCAGCTTCTTTCTATCTTTATTGCGTCCACTTCGGAGCTTCACCCACGACTATATATCATACTCTAGTTCACTATGCCCATGGCCAACGCTGCTTTTTCACTCTCTCTACCAAAAACGCTGCCGAAAGTGCTTCCGCTGACGCTGGAAATTCAACGAAACCCTCTTTTTATCGCTATCGCGTCAACAAAATGAAAGAACATAAAATGACAGAAATACGCGAATGAAACACAAATGAACGTGCTTGCGGTGTTTGTACTCCGCTGTTCGTACCATATAGTCACTTGAGACGAAACTTACGTTGATTCTTTTTATTACAGACGCTTCTGTTCGCTGATATGGCTGATTCGCATGATTCGGATATATTGAAATTCTGCAAGTGTGGGGTAGTCTGTAGGGGGATATGATTAAACTGCGTTTAGAACACAATGTGAACCGTTTTGGGAGAGCAGTTGGCCATCCCTGTGACAGGTGTGTTTATAAAAAGTATTAACGATTTAGAGTACTTGGTACTATACTATTATGGGAGAGCACAAAGCCGTGGTAAATGGCTTGAAGGTCGATTATGACGAATTCAAAGGCTTCCCTTGGGGAAACTACAGCAGCATTGTTCACACGTGGTTCACACGTGTGAACACACGTGCGAACACGACCCGATTAACATTTTGGTTGTCCGTTCAATTGAAACCTGCGAGAAAAGTGCCCAACTCAGCCACAAAAAACGTAGGCCACTCCTACGAAAACTATATTAAGAGATCGCTTAAACGCTTTCATGAAAGCTGCAGGGGTGGGAAGTGCTTTTGCTTTAAGAACGACGGTGCCAACTTTACACAAATGGCGCTACACTCAGTCTATTCTTATATCTGTCTTGTCTCTGCTGTGGACACCAGGTAGTGAAATTGTGACAGAGAACCAGCGTGGCTATGACAATGCCCGAGCGTACGCCAACCGGGGGGCGCACGACGACTAGGAACCAACCACAGTTACGAGACGCTATACGGAGCAATTTTAGAGCACCGAAGCGCCCTAAGGAAATATATACTCCCCTCCCCACAATGACCTCAGTTGGAAGCAGTCGGTTGCCTGGAGCCAGTCGCAGACGAATACTTACCCGAACCTCAGTATTCTCAGCAAAATTTCTCCGGCAACATATGCTCAGAAATGCCCGCTATGCTGAGGAGCCCCAACACTATTACGTAAGATGGGCCTGCCAATCACTTAATGGTAGTGCCAAGAAACAGCACACCAACACCGTAGCAGGCTAAGCTCTCCTATACTCGAAGCCTGAAGAACAGGTCTTGCTGATCGACAAAACTCGCAAGATGACAAAGGCCACAGGGGCCCTGTACGGTGGGTTCCACCTTCGCCGGAAGAATATATCTTTTGAAATAAGTTTTGCATTCTATTCCTGTTGCGCAAAGGCGGGCCATCATTATTATTATCATTTGTCCTGGCTACAGTATACTTGAATAATATAGTCGTGGCAGTGTCTTGCTCTTCGCACCTTTTCTCCTATCTGCCTACACAGATGAGACATTCCTGCCATCCATTCCTTCTTTTTTTTCTCTCTTATTCGCAGACGAAGACATGGATCAGCTTACGAATGGCGTGCTGTTCTCTCGCGTGCTGGGTGCCACAGGCGGCAGTGGCCCAGTGTCGTCGTCGTCGACTGGTCCCGCGAGCTGCGCCGTGGGCCAGGCGTACCCGGCCGATCTGTGTGGTTACTCTCAGGCCTACGACAACTACGTGTACCAAATGAAGATGGAGTCGCGCACTTCGCCCTACGGTCGACCCGCGGCCGCTCCTCCTCCGACAGCCGCAGCCGTAGCCGCGGCCTCCTATCCCGGCTATCACCACCACCCAGGAACCCCGGCTGGGACCCAGGCGTACGGCGCCCTCTATCCGCCGCGAGCGAAGCAGGCGACGGGATACGACTATACGACGCGGTGACGCGCGAGCCTCCGCGGCAGCCTCCCGACGAAAAAAAAAAAAAAGTGTGAATGCTGTTTCGAGTGCAATTTAAAAAACTACGTGCCGAGTCCGTCCAGAGGTTGCATGACCAACGAGAAAGCCAAGGGACGAAAAACATGCTGTACAGACTCTTTTTTTTTTTCCTTAGAGCGATAGATGAGGTCGCGTCGGCAAATCGCAGGAGCTCGAACCTTCCAAAAGAAAGCTTATACCAGTGTTTTCAGTGTCTATTCATCTGCTTCTGTTTTTCTAAGACCTTGATTGCATACGACATATGGCACTGTGAACGAGCAGGGCAAGTGAGCATGAAGGTGTACGTAGATAAGTGCTGCTATTGCAAGGTCGTAACAATTAGGTTATTTTTTTTCTTTACTTCTATCTCTTCTTCGCCCATGCGGTTTCTCGTGCTCAATGTTTATATAACACTTACGCAACGAAAGAACTGCCAAAGCCATGTCTCTATGGCCTTGCTATAGTATCAAACGTGTGCGACTGGGAACCTCTACGTTACCTGGAGAGGCCAGAACTTACTGAGATAAGTTATATATGGCAAACATCTGCACCTTGCTTTAAAAATGTTGCCTTAATAAGGAATCAGAAGCTGTCTACACATGTATTTCTGAGTCCAGCCTGTGCAACGATACCCGAGTTTTCGAATTAGTGAACAAGCGGCGTGTCGTAGGCATCTAGGCGCACAGAAGCGTTCAACTGTCGTGGCGTCACGTTACTGTTGGCTGCACCACTTTCGCTGCATCAAAAATTGGAGCTTATTTTAACGCTTGTAATGAGGTTAGAAGACATCGTTTTCCAACTACTTAATCACAGCTTGTGTCGCCTCATAGTGTGTCACCAACGTCTGCCTACAACGAGTCGCTGCAGGAAGAACCCGACTGTAAACCATCTCGGTCAACCTGGCGATCACGCATTTCTCGCTGCTATGCTAAATCATGTTGCATGGCGCACGGATACTATAGTTCGACTGTTCAATGTATTCACTGCCGCACCTGTATGGCTTAGTCCGCAATGATGAACCTTCGAGAACAGTGACAGCTATATTGTGATAGCCATGGGACTGGTTCATTACTCGCCCTTGATGCTGCGAAGCTACATGAAGTCCCACTATACGGGGCAGATTGTCTACCCTCCCTCCTAGGATGGAGGGCGGCGCCTTCTTTACCACCCTCCACGCGCGTGGCTGTGAATGTGCCCGCCAAACCTCCGTACGTTATGTTTTTATGTGCAATTACATAGTGCAGTAAAGTAACAATGTGTGTAGCCTTTACATTACACGGTTCACATCAATAGCCCCTGCCTATCTTTCGGCCGTAGGGACAAGAGTGCAATAATATATACCAGGTGTATTGAGTGAATGTGCGTGATATGCTCACTTGAAATGTCTCTTGTAATATATGTTCGTTCGTTTGCTCTGCAGGGACAGAATGAAGGATGTCGCAACACAAATACTCGCGGCTTAGCAGCCGAATCGGTGCCTTAACTGTCGTTATACCTTCTCTTCGCTGTCGCAATTTGACAGAGTGCATCATCAATGGCTCGAATCGCCGGGACGCACACGATGTTACGAGAGCGTGCGTAGATTCTCGTTTTCATCGTCGTTACAATATTATTGTGATTGTACAGACTCAAGATGCAAAATAAAATGTATATTGCCCTAAGATTGCGCAGTGTCGTTCTTAAATGTCGAAATGGTGTGGTGTACCAGAGTAATGTTTATTTCAGGGACGTCGTCTATTGGCCTCGAGATCTTGGAGTGGCGCCCTCTCGCGTGTGATCTCAAATTAAGGATTCCACTTTCAACCGCGCTGCAGCCGCCGCAGCTCCTGCACGCAGATCTTCTGCTCTACACGGAAACTTCGTCGAACTAACAGCCTTGCGAGGGTAGACGAGCGCCTTCAATGACTGTTTTTGAGTGCGATTTTAATCTTGCTTTAGTTGCGGCCCAATTGACAGGGCCAGGTAATCCCCTGGATGGCCGACAAGTGCGCCGAAGCCACCAACCGCATTGTGGGTAAGAAAACGACATTATGTGTGTGTGTGCTCTCCCTCGTTATCACACTTTCCGCCGTACGATACTATTTGTTCGGGTGTTTTTTTTTTTTTTTCGGTGTTTCAGTAATCATGCCTTTCTCCGGCATCTACAAGTATCTAGATAAAGCTTGCGAAACATCGTGGTGTTTCATCGAGGGCGAGGCGGTGTACGACGCAGGAAACGTTGTTTAATGCGCGGTCGACGCTGTCAACGGGCACCGCATCACCAACGCGGCTCTCGCCCCGCCGCGGTGGTCTAGTGGCTAAGGTACTCGGCTGCTGACCCGCAGGGCGCGGGTTCAAATCCCGGCTGCGGCGGCTGCATTTCCGATGGAGGCGGAAATGTTGTAGGCCCGTGTGCTCAGATTTGGGTGCACGTTAAAGAACCCCAGGTGGTCTAAATTTCCGGAGCCCTCCACTACGGCGTCTCTCATAATCATATAGTGGTTTTGAGACGTTAAACCCCACATATCAATCAAATCAAAACCAACGCGGCTCTCGTCCGGCAAACAAATGGACTTGCGATACCGCCACCCAACGTCTCCGTCGGGGTCGACTGCGGCGAAGTGGCGAATGCTAGCTGTTCGCGCTGAATCGGGCTGAGGCAATGTCTTCGTGCAAAGTAACATCGAAGTATTTATGTTCACTGCAGGTCTGCATGTTGCTGTCGAGCTCATATGACATTTTGCATTGTGTAATGTTTCTAAATTAGGAGCTTAGTTACAACTCCTGAACTATATTCTAACTATAGTTAGAATATCTAATGGGGCCACCATTCTGAACTTAATAATGAAATGTTTAAGTGCGGTGCCAGAAATTGCTATCATTCGTGGTAATAAAAAGACACAATAAATATTTTATAGCCTTAAGAGAGAGAGAGAGAAAATAAAATGAGGGAAAGGCAGGGAGGTTAACCTAGAAAATGGAGCATCCGGTTTGCTACCCTGCACTAGGGGAAGGGGAAATGGGGAAGAAAGATGGGAAAGAAAGCGAAGAGGGAAATAGACGCGCGCAGAAAAAAAGGGGGGGGGGGTGCTGGGGTGCTACAGTCTATACAATAGGCCACCGCCACGCAAAAAGTTCAGTAAGGCCTTCACTTATTTTCTGTGAGCACACAAATCATGTCGCCTTTGAAGCACTGATTGTTCAGACAAAGGTCTGTCGTCAAGGCGAGCTAACGCAGCAGCTATGCCGTCTTTGCACGCTGTAACGAGGGCAGTGACAGAGAACGTGCTCTATAGTTTCATCGCTGCCGCAATGACCGCAAGCAGCACTGTCTTCCATGCCGATTCAGAAGGTGAAAGCTTTGGTGAAGGCGACATCAAGCCATAGTCGGCAAAGCACCGTTGTCTCGAGTCGAGAGAGTCCTGACGGAGGCCGGAGTCGACGAGACGTGTCCAGTGCATATATGCAGTCGCGTGTGCCGTAAGCAATCGGCGTTCCACAGGGATTTTAATGCTGCATTAGCGATTTTTCTGATTGCCATTGCAGCATCAGTCCTTGAAAATGGTATAGATTCTTCTTCGCCACCTTCGTGTGCTGATCTAGCAGCTGCATCGGCATGTTCGTTGCCCAATATGCCGCAGTGACTTGGAAGCCACTGAAACGTTATTCTGTGTCCTTCGTCGAAGAGATGGTGAATCAGCTCTCTAATTTCCAGCACTAGTTGTTCATGAGGTCCCCGGTGTAAGGCGAATATCAAACACTGTAGTGCTGCCTTAGAGTCCGTGAACACGCTCCATTTCTTGGCTTCTTGGTGTTTAATGACTTTAACTGCGCTACGTACAGCAGCAAGTTCCACAGCTGTCGATGATGTCTGGTGGGATAACCGAAACTTCACCGTTGTCGCTGTTGCAGGAAAGATCACCGACCCTGCTGACCCATCCACTTTAGTTGAAGCGTCAGCATATAGATGAGTATGCTCACTGTACTTCTCATATAACAAGAGAAGAGAAAGCTGCTTTAGCGCTGGAGGCGAGAGCCGGGCTTTTGACCCTATGCCTGGAGTATGACTTATGCACATGTTGAACTCACGGTTTTATAGCATTAAAATTTGTGTTGACATTAAACACGGATACTGCAGGTTGGAGAGGTGGAGTATAGGTTCATGTTTTATGCATGAGCCTGGAATTACCAATAAAACTACAATATAAAGTAGTTAACATAGTCAATGCGTGCCTTTTAACATTTAACATGGTGCAGCACTCGCCGCGGAGACAAGCGGCCACACGCCGTTCTATGAAACAAAGCGCTCTGATTTCAACATGAGTTAAAAGCGGAAACCCATGGTTGTTCGAACAGCGTCGGCAGTCCACCACATATCAGACAACGAACTAATCTGCTTCTTTTAAATGCGAAGAATTTCTTAGCGAACTTTAGCAACCTTGAGTCTATCTATCTATCTATCTATCTATCTATCTATCTATCTATCTATCTATCTATCTATCTATCTATCTATCTATCATATCTATCTATCTATCTATCTATCTATCTATCTATCTATCTATCTATTTCTATCTATCTATCTATCATCTATCTATCTATCTATCTATCTATCTATCTATCTATCTATCTATCTATCTATCTATCTAGCCGCTTACGTTTGGCTGCTCTCGTGGTCACCCCTTTAACTTGGCGAGAACCTAAATTAGCATGGGAGGGTAAGATGATTTGACAAATATGACGCGCTGATCAAGACATGAATGATGTCCCAATACTCTCTCGTATGTCGTCAAACACTTCGCGCCAGACAGTGGCACAGACCCACGAGCGGGTATGTGCCCCTGGCATACAGGTATGTGCACATGTGATTGACACTTAATTAGGAACGACGAGAACACACATGAGCAATTTTAACGCACGAGCGTTAAGAAATACCCGACATCGGTAGCGTCGACTCGACGAATGCAAAGAATAAATGTCAGGATCCCAGTTTGGAATCAAACCCAAGC